GGCCTACATATTCAACTTCAAGCCACATCAGTGAACTGTTACATGGAAAGTGTGTTCTGCTCAAGACTGCCTGAGCAAACATCGACCAAGTTAAAAACCAAAGACAGTGATGTAATATTTCACACCACAAAAAGTAGATTTAGCAAAAAAAAAAAAAAAAAAAGGAGGGAAAATGATGTTGATATTTCACATATATTTATAATATATGCCTGTGGATCAAGATCAATCGGTTATTTACCCAACCCTGTGTCAGCAAGGCCCCTTTCCAGGAATTCCTCCATATCAATGTTGTGGAGCAGCACAGAAATAAAGTACAGCCTGAGCGTGATGAGGGTTCCAGGCTGCACTCAGGTCAGGTGGCTAAGCTGTGCTGTGCAACTCAAATGGCCCATGACTTACCACACAAGAAGGTATGCGAAGACTGATCATCTACTGCATGTGCAACAATATTTGCTTTATGGATGGCTAAAATGAATGAGGACTTTCCATGTTTCGACAGGCATGAGAGTCAAGAGAGATGAGAGTAGGGACCAAAGTTGGGTCAAACAGTTGTTACAATTAATTGTTAGAATTTAGTTCATTTTGAAGGGAGCACCAGATTGGCAGTCGTTGCATTGCTCTGTGTGGGAAAGACCACCTATCAGCCACCTGAGTAGTCTTAAACAAACCATAAAAAAGTATTTCTTAATCACCACTGGACACACGTCTCAGCATCTGCAGCTGTGATTTTACACCGACTTATCAGCCGCAGTGTAATACAGCTGTAATTCTTTATTCATTCTTCCGTATCCTTGCTGTAACCTGAATCTCTATTTCCCATCTTTTCCAGACTTACAGAAAGACAGCAGGCTACAGTCAGTGCGGTTACTGAGACAATTTGATACACACGTCTGTGCTGACCTTTTACCTTTAACAAAATGTGAAGAGAAACAGGAAACACTGGATTTGCTGTAAACTGTAAACATTCCAGATCTTTACCCAACCATACACCATGCCTTAACCAGGTCTATATACTGTATATATAATGTTTTACAGTGTCGAACCTGTGGTTGCGCTTCCCACAGTGCAAAACAGACACTGCTGACGTGTTCATCCCTTCTATCTGGGGAGGGGTGAGGGTGCCGGGGTAAGAGTACTGGGCTTTTGTCCCACCACATGTCTATTGTGGCTAAACCTTTCCCTTGGGGGCAATTAGGACCTTTTAGTTTGTTGTAAGAGGACCTAAGTACGAGTGGGTTGAGCCAGGAAAAACATTTTTGAGCTAAACCAAAAACAGAAGCGCATTGAGCTCCTCTGCACTCCTGGACTTCTGAGCATCTCTCTATTAAGAAATGTGCAGGCCTGCACTGAACAGACAGGAACTGTGGCAGCTTTACAGGGGCAGGGAGGTGATGGGGGTGAGAGAGCTGGGGAGGGGGAAGGCTTCAACTCCACCTGAGGCCTTGCCAAGAGGCCAAACAACTCAAGACCAACAATGTTGGTGGCAAGGACATGCTTCACGAGAATCAAGAGTTAGGGGAGATCCATGTTTTGCTTTAACTTTCACATGGCTGGATGGAAAACTGGGGAGAGAGAAGTGCGACGGGTAACGGTATGTGGTGAGATCTGCCGTAGCGTGCAGAAAGCAAACACATGCATGTTGTTTAACACAACAGAGACGTGGAGCCAATGAAAAGACATTACTGTAAGTAAAAGCAGCTACAGCCGAAGTGTTAGTCTACACGTGAGAGATAAGCGTTAAGAGTAGGTCTAAGTGTGTGACTGAAAGAGTTAATGTTTGCAAAGGGATGAAAATGAATGTGCAAATGTGTTTGAGAGATGGCGCAAGATAGGGAAAAAGAAACAGAGCAGAAGAGAAAGACAGGTACGGCGTAATTAAGTGCACAAATTGTCTTCATGCGGGGACCTTATCTCCCTAAAGAAGGCAACGTTTCCCATGGCAGGCCTGAGTGGATCGGCAGTGAACAGTGTTAGAACCTCTGAGCAAAAAGCCATGAGTGATGAGGAGGGGTTAAGAGAACTGAACCCATTTAAGTCACCCAAATAAGGGCTGTACAAGCCCATGATGGATGCTCTGGAGTTCCTGAGGGAGAGAGCGCTAGCAATGTGAAGGGTGATGGGTGGGGAACGAGCAGGGGTCCTACGATCCCCACTTAATAAAAACAAATTGGTTTGATAAACGACACAGGCTTAATGTCTTCAAAGAAATATGTGTTCTAATTTCGAACATTAACATAAGCCATTTTAAAATGTTGATGGTCCCATTCAGCGATAATATGTGTATGTTACAACGAACAAAAACGAGCGAAATATGGATTAGGACTGCAAATATGGCACACCATATTTTTTATATCAGTGACTTCAGACGATCTCTGATCTGAAAGGCCTGTTCACGACAGGCCTTTCAGATCAGAGATCCAAATGCAGCTGTTGTTAAGTAAAGAGCAACAGAATTTATCGTTTGGAGCCCTTTCAAAACACACAGCACTTATTAGTCTACTAAAAATGAAACACTTGAGTGGTGGAGGAGATGACTGCAACAGGCCAACATTTCTCTTGAGAGGTTCCTGTGTACCATACGGTGTTACACCAGGCTGTGCTGTAATAAACAGTTATAGTATGTTTAGACAGACCAAGAGCTTAGCATTCTTCCATTACCCATGTGTTCCCAGAAACTCCACAAGTGTGTCGCTTTACCTAAGTGCATGTTGCTCTGTGTGTGTATCTGCGTGTGCACACAGTTGCATAAATAATTGTGCGCCCTCAATAAAACATTTCATTGGCTTCCTCTCTGAATTGTTACAAGTGGTGCCATTATTTAACACAAGGCTCTGGGCGGCATGTAGAGGGCATGGGGGTGCAGCATACTGGTGCTTAACAAGCACACTTAACCCTAGCCGGCCATGCTAAGCCTGAAGAAAGGAAAGGTTGTTCCCCAGCAGTGACATGGCACAGGAGGGCAGTCAGGCCAGGGTAAGGAGAGGAGGGGACAGCATCATTAATGAACCAGTCTGGTCCATAAGCTCAATTACCGTACCCTGGGTAAAGAAGACAGTGTTCAAATTAAACTAGAAGGCAGGCACAGGGTAATTCAGGAAATTTAAGCTCAATGTGTATGGTTGCACATGTACTGTTAATAAGCCAAACAGAGTCACATTTGATTCCCTTAAGCCTCCATGTTGACTCTATGTTAAAAAGAATACTTCAATTTGTATAATACTGTAACAGGTATATTAGTGCAGGTAAAAAAACTTTCAGCTGCAGATATAGAAATCTTACTGCTCTAACCAGAAACTGAAGTAATTACTACTATGCGTATGACATCTCCAGCCTGTGTTCACCTTAAGTTTATCTGAGTGGAAACACTAAAAAAAAAAAAAATCACAGTGGTGAAACGCCACAATTTCCCCTAAGACAAGTCCTCACAGAGACATAAATCTGTAGTGTTTTTATAAGCTCCTTGTTATGTCTGTACTTCTATTTTGGTTGTCACAAACATGTTGCCTCACTCAGTCCAACATCATGGGAACCATTTAAAAGAAACCTAAACTCCACTCCCGAAAGAATGCTGTGTATTCTTATGTTCAGCTTATTGTCAATGTGTGCCAAGTATTGGAGTTGGAGAAAAAGCAAAAAATGCTGCAAAAGATTAGAAGCTGTTCAGAGAGAGAAAAAAAACTCAGATAGGGTGGGGAGACAAAAAGTAAAACAAAAATGTAGGTGTGGACATTTCCAGCTACATAGTTAGACTAACTCTTCAAGCTCCCTAAAAAAAAAAGGAGTCCATGGGAGGGTTCAGGGATTCATAAAGTCTCGCAAGGTAATTGATTGCTCCTTGCGGGGCAATCTGTGTGGGATTTTGTTTTTCTTTTTTTCAGTCTGTAGGAACAGAAAAAACACACATGGGCCATTCTCAGCAATAGAGCCATTAGGGGGAGAATGACTGTGCAAGTGTGGGGGAGAGGGGACTGACAGCAGGATGAACACTACTTAAATATTACAGTACACACACTCACCCACACACCCAAAACCTAGCCTAAATACAGAGGCGCCCACTGTTAAAGCCGGGGCATTAGGAGACGCAACGGATGCAAAGACAAGAGAATCTGCTCTAGACAGGCGAATTAAACCGTGACCTGTGGTCCTCCGTTGAGTAACATTAGCGAGAGCTTCCTGTGTGCAGACACCACTCTGTTGACCGTTCATCATGGCCCGGGAAGGTGGACAGTCACCATTACACACACACACTGACGCCCCACTTTACAATAACACGGCGGCAGCCATGACTCCACATCTGTCAGGGGGATGTTTAAAAAGAGTCATCATTATTACTCTTTATTTTGGAGATGGGTGGAAGGGTGCAGGCTGATAGGAGGAGAGCCGTCTGGTTAACGTCCAGTTCCTCTCCTTAACCAGTGACTCGGGACAGGAGCGCAGACTCGGGTTGGTGGTGGGGGGGGGGCAGACGGATACT